CAAAACTCCTTAAAGGGGGTTGTATAGGGAATTATACAGGGACTCAGGACTCATATAGACCCTAAACCTTAGACCCTAAACCCCAAAACCCTAAACCTAAGCCCTAAACCCTAATCCCTAGGCCCGAAACCCTAAACCCTAAACCCTAAACCTTCAACCCCAAAATGGCCAAGGTAATACCCATCGAGCTGCCTCCTGGAATGTACAGCAGTGGGATCTGGCTACCTGAGATCAGGTGCCGCTCCATTAGAGTCCAGGGGTTAAGGTTTGAGGGTTTAGGGTTTAGAGTTCAGGGCTCATAGGGTTTAGGGTTTAGGGTTTAGGGGTTAGGGTTTAAGGTTTATGGGTTTAGGGTTTGGGGTTTAAGGGTTTAGGGTTTATGGGTTTAGGGTTTAATGGTTTAGGGTTTAGGGTTCAGGGTAGTGCAGAGAACGAGGGGGTTTCAGGAGTATGGTCAGGAGTATTCAGCGCTTGTTTCCGGGTTTTTTTCTATTGCCATCGCTTTCCTCAGTCGCTACCATCAAGAAAGCAGTAGATGTCAACCGTATGTAGCGCCTAGGTTGGGTACTGCCCCCCTTCAGTAACAGTTGGAAAATACATATAATATGATTATATATAGCCCTTAATAGGGCCCTTAATTTAGACTGTTACTGGGGGGGGGCAGTACCCAAGGCTTAGGGTTGAGGTTAGTTGCAGGTTGGTGGCTAAAGGTTCGGGGCTTCTGCACTTCCTTTAGCAGATCAAATGGCACCCCCTTAAGTTGCAGTATTGCGCAAGGGCCCATGAGTTTGTGCCTGACCATTTAAGGTGTAGGGGGGTTAGCAGTGTTCAGGCCTTAGAGGTTTGGGAATTTGGGGATGTAGCTTGCTCATAAGACAAGTGGACTTCTTAGATTCTAGACCGACCCTGAAGCCCCAAAACCTTCGCCCTAGATTCTACATCCCTAAGCTCCAGACCTTCAACCCCTGGATCACTAGTTACATCCCTAGCCGTTAAACCCTACACGACTTCAACACCAACAACAAGTAAGAGTCACACGACAGTCATTGGGTCCTCAGTGTCCTCAATTTGGGGTGGACCTGAATGTCCTCATTTTGGGGTGGAGGCAGGCAAGTCTTTTCATTTCTAGACATCATAAGCCATCTCGGCCAGGGTCATGCTGGTTCTGTGGATGCAGTTTACTGATCGTCGATACGTCTCGGTCTCAGTGTGAACAACATCTGCAGGGTCAGAAGGGTTTATACAGCATCGCAAGTTTGAGCCTTTACTTGAGCTGTCATTCCAACCGCATAGCATGGGGTTTGCAATGGCAGGCTCTCTTGATGGCACGTGGAGTGATAAGTGCCCTGGGTAGGTAACATCCCGGGGGCCCATTGTAGACCCTAATGGGCTATGATCCTTGTCATGTGGAAGCCAAAAAGGGTACCCCTAATTTTGNNCCTAAACCCTATATCACCACTACATTTTGTATACACCCCATAACCCCTTTAAAGGTACACCTCATTTGGAAAAACCTTTACATCCGGAAGCTCGCGCCAAGATCAAAGGGATCGAGGCTGTCGTTGTGGATGGCATGCTGGTAACTTGTCTCGACTTGGAGTCGGTCAACATGGGGGTGGTTTAGGGTTTAGGGTTCATAACTATGCCCCCGCTGGGGCACGGTATATTAGGGCCCAGATTGTAGTTAGGAACCCTTAAACGGGAACGATAATTCTGTTAAAGTCCCGCATGGGAGTAGGGTGAGATGTGGCTGGAGTGTCTTGAGTAGGGATATCATAAGGATCCTCATCCAAAATTTGAAGGACACTCTGTTGGCCTCAGTGGCTCTACTACCAATAGCCAAAGTTTGAATCGTCATAGATGATGCTGTTTTTCATTATGATGTAGGATGTTGCTGCGATCAACAATGCTTTCGTGCGGCAATATCCTCCATCGCTTGAAATGGCTGATGCCCAAGCAGTGTTGGTGGCATCTTCACTCCTGGGTAAGGCTGGGTTCAAGCTATTGACCGTAAGTCCTGAGGACTGGGTACTTATGCGCAAGTCCGCCTTCAAAAAAGACAGATTCGTTCTCATCGCTGTTGCTAAACTCTCAAACCCTAACTCTCAGACTTCCGCGTTAAACCCTCGAACTTCACAATGCTATCCTGTGAGCCGATTGCCCAAGCTAAGGACCAGATTGCAAACGTGGTTAAGGTGCAGGTGGTCCCAGACGACCTGCGAGAGGTGGGACCTGTTTATTCAAGGGTTCAGGATTTAAGCATTATACATGAAGGCTTTCTGGACTCGATTCAGGCTTTGATCAGGGCTTATGTTGAAGGTACCAGGGTTGAGGTGCTTTCCGGCTGCTAAAAACGGATGCCCTTTTGGTGGGATCTGTGTTTGAATAGGATTTCAGAAGGCTAATCTAGGAATACCCCTGGCAGCATAGGGAATTTCTCCACATGAGCCTTCCTTTCTTGTGCCCTAAACCCTAGATCCTAAAC